CTCCTCCTCCTCCTCCTCCTCCTGATGGCCCAACAACTTCCACCAAACTCGGGAGCATCCTAAAGGCGCCTGAACACCGCATCTGGCGGCGCTTCTCGCCCGACAGCCTCAATTATGCATAATCTAATCCTCTTTAGCGAAAACAATAAACTCTCTAAAGTGCTGTGGATGCGGTTCTGGACGCCCTACTGGTGAAGAAGGAGGGGGATAGGTGGGATTTTGTGGGGGATAGAAGAGGCAGAGATGGTGGATAGAAAGGGGGTATAGGTGGGGGATAGAAGGGGTATTGATGAGGGATAGATTGGGGTTAGAAGGAGAGTTAAACAGGAGGTAATTTAGCTTCTTGTTTGAGTGATATACTTCTCTTTGTGTGTGTGTGAGGTGTTACGTGTTTGTTTACGATGATTAAGGTTAGCTTTTTTTGTTTTGTCGTTGTTGTTATTGTGCTTGTGTTGTGCTCTAGCTCCTGGACCACCGTCTTATAGTGCTATAGACCTCTGATACTTATTTATAATACCGATTTGTAAAGCTGTGGTCTTATTCCTCTGCTTCATGTTAACCTATCTTTGTTCCCGTGATAACTTATCCCCGATTTAAGATCTAGTTGGTCCTCTGGGTGTCTCAGAAGCGCTTGTGCGGACAGAATATTGTGGGGGGGGATATGTGGATATAACGAGCGTTGAGAATCTGCAGTAAACTTGTTGTTTGAATAGACTTGTAGTCTATCAGTTTGGATGTTTATAATCATCATCTGTGTGGTCATTATTATTGATCTCATCTAATTCAATGACACAATGTTTATGGCAGTTTAAGAAATGTTTATTTTTTATTTCCCCCCCCCCCCCGCAGTCTATTTAAAATCACTTTTAAGTTTAAGTAGCATTTGGTCACGAAGGCTATTGGCCACGGGGGTCGTAATTTGATTATGTCCGCAGTTGTGTCCGGCAGTTGTGTCCAACAGTTGTATCCAGCGGTTGTGTCCAACAGTTGTGTCCAGCGGTTGTGTCCAACAATTGTGTCCAGCAGTTGTGTCCAACAATCATGGGCTTTAGCGTCTCCTTTCCGCCATAGGTGTCAATCCTCCTCCTATTCGCCTTGGATTCCACTAAAATATATAAATTAAGATACTGGATGAAAAGCACTTTTATAACCAAAATAGATCACATTCATCTAACTCAAAAAAGAACAATAATAATGGTGCCAAAAGTGTTACCGTTTATATATAACACCTTATATATAAAGTTATATATAACACCTTATATATAAAGTTATATATAACTTTATATATAAAGTTATATATAACTCAATATTTTATGCAAGGGCTAAATACATTGTTTACATAGAGCTGTGTCTAGCTGTTGAAACACAGAAAATTATCCAATTCTCTATAGTAAAGCTAATGAATATACCATATGTTTGTGGCCCTGGGGTGTTGGGTGGTGAGATAATATGGACGGTAGGTGTTGACATATATTGAGGCCTCAGGTGTAGGTGTTATACAGTTCTCAGATGTTTGGTGGATATATTTCACAGACCTCTCAGGTGTTGGGTGGATATATTTCACACCCTCTCAGGTGTTGGGTGGATATATTTCACAGATCTCTCAGGTGTTGGGTGGCTATATTATACGCACCTGAGCCTCTGGCAGAGGAAGGAGGACCTGCTGATAATTGTCAAACAACAACATGTCCCCCTCTCCCCCTCCCCCCTCCCCCCGAAAAAAAAAATAATAATAACAGCATCCGCCAGGGGCGCTGAGATAGAATGACTCAGCCTAATATGGAAGTGAACAGAGATGCTGATTATTATTCAGCCCAAAGTGTTCCTTTTCTCTCTCTCTCTCTCTCTCTCTCTCTCTCTCTCTCTCTCTCTCTCTCTCTCTCTCTCTCTCTCTCTCTCTCTCTCTCTCTCTCTCTCTCTATCTCTCTCTTTGTCACCTTTCCTATTTTTCGTTTCCCCCATTTCTGTTCTATAAACCACTTTACTCTTTCGTATCCACTCCTTTACTCCTTTCCCATTTTCCTGTTTTCTCTTTTATTCATTCATTCTCTTGTCTCTCAGTTCTTATGCACTCTGGCTCTCTATCTCTCACAGTTCTCTCCGTTTCTCTCCCTCATTCTCTCATTCGTGTTACCGTTCCCTTCTTTCTCCTAATCTTTCTTCGTCTGTTGTTTTTTCTTATTGTTCTCTTAATTTTTGTACTATCTCCTCTTTCGTGTTTATTAACCTCTCTTTCCTTGTTATTCTTCCATGTGTGTCTTCTTGTCGTCCTTGTGTCCATCTTCATCGGTGGTTTCTCTCTCTCTCTCCTTATTTTCTCACCTCTCCTCTCCTGTGATTCCCCTGTCGTCATTCTCTTCCCTCTCTTCTCCTCTTCTTTAACTTCTTTGCTGTTTATATCAATCTTCTCCCTTTCTTGAGGCCCTGATATAAGGCGTCTTAGGGAGCTGGGCCCTGATATAAGGCGTCTTAGGGAGCTGGGGCCCTGATATAAGGCATCTTAGGGAGCTGGGCCCTGATATAAGGCATCTTGAGGAGCTGGGCCTCTGATATAAGGCATCTTGGGGAGCTGGGGCCCTGATATAAGGCATCTTAGGGAGCTGGGCCCTGATATAAGGCATCTTAGGGAGCTGGGGCCCTGATATAAGGCATCTTGGGAAGCTGGGGCCCTGATATAAGGCATCTTGGGGAGCTGGGGCCCTGATATAAGGCATTTGGGAGAGCTGGGGCCCTGATATAAGGCATTTGGGAGAGCTGGGGCCCTGATATAAGGCATCTTAGGGAGCTGGGGCCCTGATATAAGGCATCTTGGGAAGCTGGGGCCCTGATATAAAGCATCTTGGGGAGCTGGGGCCCTGATATAAGGCGTCTTAGGGAGCTGGGGCCCTGATATAAGGCGTCTTAGGGAGCTGGGCCCTGATATAAGGCGTCTTAGGGAGCTGGGGCCCTGATATAAGGCATCTTGGGGAGCTGGGCCCTGATATAAGGCATCTTGGGGAGCTGGGGCCCTGATATAAGGCATCTTAGGGAGCTGGGGCCCTGATATAAGGCATCTTAGGGAGCTGGGGCCCTGATATAAGGCATCTTAGGGAGCTGGGGCCCTGATATAAGGCATTTGGGGGAGCTGGGGCCCTGATATAAGGCATCTTGGGGAGCTGGGGCCCTGATATAAGGCATTTGGGAGAGCTGGGGCCCTGATATAAGGCATTTGGGAGAGCTGGGGCCCTGATATAAGGCATTTTAGGGAGCTGGGCCCTGATATAAGGCATCTTAGGGAGCTGGGCCCTGATATAAGGCGTCTTAGGGAGCTGGGCCCTGATATAAGGCGTCTTAGGGAGCTGGGGCCCTGATATAAGGCGTCTTAGGGAGCTGGGCCCTGATATAAGGCGTCTTAGGGAGCTGGGCCCTGATATAAGGCGTCTTAGGGAGCTGGGCCCTGATATAAGGCATCTTAGGGAGCTGGGCCCTGATATAAGGCATCTTGAGGAGCTGGGCCTCTGATATAAGGCATCTTGGGGAGCTGGGGCCCTGATATAAGGCATCTTAGGGAGCTGGGGCCCTGATATAAGGCATCTTAGGGAGCTGGGGCCCTGATATAAGGCATTTGGGAGAGCTGGGGCCCTGATATAAGGCATCTTAGGGAGCTGGGGCCCTGATATAAGGCATTTGGGAGAGCTGGGGCCCTGATACAAGGCATTTGGGAGAGCTGGGGCCCTGATACAAGGCATTTTAGGGAGCTGGGCCCTGATATAAGGCATCTTAGGGAGCTGGGGCCCTGATATAAGGCATCTTGGGGAGCTGGGGCCCTGATATAAGGCATCTTGGGGAGCTGGGGCCCTGGTATAAAGCATTTTAGGGAGCTGGGGCCCTGATATAAGGCTTCTTGGGGAGCTGGGGCCCTGATATAAAGCATTTTAGGGAGCTGGGCCCTGATATAAGGCATCTTGGAGAGCTGGGGCCTGATATAAGGCATCTTGGGGAGCTGGGGCCCTGATATAAAGCATTTTAGGGAGCTGGGGCCCTGATACAAGGCATTGGGGAGAGCTGGGGCCCTGATATAAGGCATTTGGGAGAGCTGGGGCCCTGATACAAGGCATTTGGGAGAGCTGGGGCCCTGATACAAGGCGTGTGCATGGCATCTACCTTGTCACTCTGGCTGAAGCCACAAGTGTTATGGAGACAAATGTTTGTTGTCACTTGTAATGTTGCTTCTGGAGATCATTCTGTCTGTCGAGTCATTCTCGGGATTTTCTCCTCCTCCTCCTTCTCCTTCGTCTTCCTCGTGCTCCTTCTCCTTGTTTGGTTCCTCGTCTGTACCGCCTCCTGGTCATTTGCCACTTAATTCCTATTACTTTCATAGTAACATTAGAAATGATAACTGTACAATTATTTGTGTAGGTCACCGGTTATACAGAATGATGTTTACATGTATCAGGGTGCCACTAACAAACTTGTTGTACACTCCACTTAAATTAAGGGGGACCATTCTAAGTAGGCGATGAGTCACAATAACGTGGCTAAAGTATGTTGACCAGACCACACACTAGAAGGTGAAGGGACGACGACGATTCGGTCCGTCCTGGACCCATTCTCAAGTCGATTGTGCGACTTGAGATTGTCGATTGACAATTGACTTGAGAATGGTCCAGGACGGACCGAAACGTCGTCGTCCCTTCACCGTCTAGTGTGTGGTCTGGTCAACACCGTTGTAAGTAACTTGTTGTGGGCGGGGGGGAGGGGAGTACTAGGTGCTGTATAGACCTGTATCGCCCCGTGAACGCATACACACATATACAACCGCTATACTGGTCAAGGCCGCGACTCGTAATACAATTCAAAAATTCGCCAAATGCAATTTTGAGTTGAATATTCTCAATAGGTTTTCAGCGTGTAATTTCCTTTTTATTTTTATTTTTTTTTTAAGTGTGATAAGCTGTATTGTTACAGTCGTGGTTTTGGCTACTACGTCCACAAGGGTGTCTGTAACTTATTCTGTACCTGCCGCTGTATCTGTACCGGGTTATGTACCAGTTGTTGTGGTTTTAGATTCAGCTAGGAGCAAAAGGTTGTAAGTAGCAGGGGGCTATGGTAGAGCCCGTAGGGGGACTTACCTGGTACAGGAGCGGGGCTGTAAGTGGCATGTACCTGTATCTGTAGCTGCCTCAGTACCTCATCTTGCTTCTGTACCTGACTCTCTCTCACCTGTACTCTGTAATTTACCTGGGTAATTAGGATACTTGTCCGGAAGAGGGAGAGGGACTGAGGACCCGGCCAAAGTCGGGCCAAAGACCTAATAAGGGATAAGACCGTTTTAAGACTAAATACGAAACACGGCAGTTTTAAGACCAAATACGGAACACGGCCGCCTTAAGACCAAATACGGAACACGAGCGGGCCGGAGTCCCAATTACCTAGGGGTGGGGGGGGGGGGAATGAGGTATTTTCCTTTGGCGCTACTTTCCGTGTTCCGTAATAAAGGGCCGGCCGCCCGTGGATGTCTTGGGTATATCGTAACATTAAGGAGGTTCTCAATATATAAAATTTCTCTGAGGTGATGTTTTTTTGTGATAGAAAAAGGGATGGAAATTCCAGTGTGTGTGTGTGTGTATGTGTGTGTACTCACCTAGTAGTACACGCGTAGTTGTGCTTGCGGGGGGGTTGAGCTCTGGCTCTTTGATCCCGCCTCTCAACCGTCAATCAACTGGTGTACAGATTCCTGAGCCTACTGGAATCTATCATATCTACATTTGAAACTGTGTATGGAGTCAGCCTCCACCACATCACTTCCTAGAGCATTCCATTTATTAACTACTCTGACACTGAAAAAATTCTTTCTAACGTCTCTGTGGCTCATCTGAGTACTAAGTTTCCACCTGTGTCCCCTTGTTCGTGTCCCACCCGTGCTGAAGAGTTTGTCTTTGTCCACTCTGTCAATTCCCCTGAGAATTTTGTAGGTGGTTATCATGTCTCCCTCTTACTCTTCTGTTTTCCAGGGACGTGAGGTTCAGTATGTGTGTGTGTGTGTGTGTGTGCATGTGCGTGTGAGCGTGCGTGCTCGCTTCTCTAGATGAGCTGGCATGGATAACCATCAAATCCTAATCCCGCCTTCCATACAATCGTTATATATTGCTATAATACAATCACTCTATTTCCACGTTTTTCAGTTAAAACTGAACACTGAGTTGGTTTCACCCACTTCTTCGTCCAGACCGCTTCCGTGGTGACTTTAACCCTGAATTAAGACGTTCTTTGTAACGTCTCTGTAACTCTCTCTCTTCTGTCTCCAGCTTCCATCTATGCTCCCCACTCTGCGCTAGTACCGACCCTTGTGGTACTCCTCTCGTTACCTCTCTCTATGGTATCTTCTCCCTCACTGTAACCCATTGTTTCATTTCTGAAAGGTACTCCTTCACCCTCGTAAACACTCGACCATATTATACACCAGATAAAGCAAGAGTCTGTTGTGTTGAATAGTATAAAAATACTTTCAGTTTGTATGTGTATGTTTCATCTATGTATGTGACTGTGATTCACAGATTCTTAAGATAACAGATTCTTAAGATAACAGATTCTTAAGATAACAGATCTTAAGAATGTTCTCGGTTATTCTGTTGTATTCCCTGTTGCGTTTCCTGTTACATTTGGGAATGAAGGGAAGAATATTAAGAGAGGAGGAGGAGGAACACGAAAGAGATAAGTGGGTGAGGAAAACGAATAAGAGAAAGGAGAAAACAAGGATGATGAAGAACGAGGAAAATTGAAAAGAATAAAGTAGGGATAATGGGAATAATATGGAGATAAGACTAGGAGAGAGGATGATAACAAAAAATGCAAACGAGGGAGATGGGGAAGAGAGAGAGATTGAAGAGGAATGAGGAAAAAGATAAAGAAGATTATTGTGTGTAAAAGGTGGAAGAGAGTTAGGAATGCTGGAGTGTTGAGATCAATTTTAAATTTTGCCCCGAGGGGCGAGTTTATTGGGCAGCGTCACTCATCCTGTGAGTGGACACACCGCCATAGTGACAGTATTGGGCAGCGCCACTCATCCTGTGAGTGGACACACCGCCATAGTGACAGTATTGGGCAGCGTCACTCGTCCTGTGAGTGGATACACCGCCATAGTGACAGTATTGGCAGCGTCACTCATCCTGAGAGTGGACACACCGCCATAGTGACAGTATTGGGCAGCGTCACTCATCCTGTGAGTGGACACACCGCCATAGTGACAGTATTGGGCAGCGTCACTCATCCTGTGAGTGGACACACCGCCATAGTGACAGTATTGGGCAGCGTCACTCATCCTGTGAGTGGACACACCGCCATAGTGACAGTATTGGGCAGCGCCACTCATCCTGTGAGTGGACACACCGCCATAGTGACAGTATTGGGCAGCGTCACTCATCCTGTGAGTGGACACACCGCCATAGTGACAGTATTGGGCAGCGCCACTCATCCTGTGAGTGGACACACCGCCATAGTGACAGTATTGGGCAGCGCCACTCATCCTGTGAGTGGACACACCGCCAGAGTGACAGTATTGGGCAGCGCCACTCATCCTGTGAGTGGACACACCGCCATAGTGACAGTATTGGGCAGCGCCACTCATCCTGTGAGTGGACACACCGCCATAGTGACAGTATTGGGCAGCGCCACTCATCCTGTGAGTGGACACACCGCCATAGTGACAGTATTGGGCAGCGCCACTCATCCTGTGAGTGGACACACCGCCATAGTGACAGTATTGGGCAGCGCCACTCATCCTGTGAGTGGACACACCGCCATAGTGACAGTATTGGGCAGCGCCACTCATCCTGTGAGTGGACACACCGCCATAGTGACAGTATTGGGCAGCGCCACTCATCCTGTGAGTGGACACACCGCCATAGTGACAGTATTGGGCAGCGCCACTCATCCTGTGAGTGGACACACCGCCATAGTGACAGTATTGGGCAGCGTCACTCATCCTGTGAGTGGACACACCGCCATAGTGACAGTATTGGGCAGCGCCACTCATCCTGTGAGTGGACACACCGCCATAGTGACAGTATTGGGCAGCGTCACTCATCCTGTGAGTGGACACACCGCCATAGTGACAGTATTGGGCAGCGCCACTCATCCTGTGAGTGGACACACCGCCATAGTGACAGTATTGGGCAGCGTCACTCATCCTGTGAGTGGACACACCGCCATAGTGACAGTATTGGGCAGCGCCACTCATCCTGTGAGTGGACACACCGCCATAGTGACAGTATTGGGCAGCGCCACTCATCCTGTGAGTGGACACACCGCCATAGTGACAGTATTGGGCAGCGCCACTCATCCTGTGAGTGGACACACCGCCATAGTGACAGTATTGGGCAGCGCCACTCATCCTGTGAGTGGACACACCGCCATAGTGACAGTATTGGGCAGCGCCACTCATCCTGTGAGTGGACACACCGCCATAGTGACAGTATTGGGCAGCGCCACTCATCCTGTGAGTGGACACACCGCCATAGTGACAGTATTGGGCAGCGCCACTCATCCTGTGAGTGGACACACCGCCATAGTGACAGTATTGGGCAGCGCCACTCATCCTGTGAGTGGACACACCGCCATAGTGACAGTATTGGGCAGCGCCACTCATCCTGTGAGTGGACACACCGCCATAGTGACAGTATTGGGCAGCGCCACTCATCCTGTGAGTGGACACACCGCCATAGTGACAGTATTGGGCAGCGTCACTCATCCTGTGAGTGGACACACCGCCATAGTGACAGTATTGGGCAGCGCCACTCATCCTGTGAGTGGACACACCGCCATAGTGACAGTATTGGGCAGCGCCACTCATCCTGTGAGTGGACACACCGCCATAGTGACAGTATTGGGCAGCGCCACTCATCCTGTGAGTGGACACACC